GGCCGAGTTTCCTAAGAAGTGAAGTTCCTGAATTCACGTATTTGAAAGTTTTGTATTTTTTATTTTGATCATTTTTTCGACAATTGTCAATGATTCAACTTGACACTACCAATTGTATAGATTCAAAATTGATCAATCACACAATCTTACATCAAGCATTTGTTTGCAACGCCTACTTAAATAAAATGAAAAATAGAGAAAAAACACGTTTGTTTATAACTTAGTATATTACTAATCTCTCAATGTATGCAATTTATTTAAAAAAACACATAGGATGTCAACCCTAACACACAAGTAGACGAGTATGCAAGGCTCACCTAGTTTGCTACACAGATATCCCGTTTGCCTCAGAAGAGTTGGAAGTAGACCTAATTTCCACGTTGGAAACACTTAACACCCACGGCACAACACTAAAACACCACTGAGAGACAATCGAGAACCCTGTAGTGTATACCACTACTAAAAAAAATAGTTTAACCGAATAGAGCTCACACGTAGCTGTGAACGCGTGGACATTCCGCTGCGACGACGGTTGCGAGAGACTGAGTGAGTGATGCACCTCGCTGCGGCGATACAGTACGGCCGGGTAGTACAGCCGCTTTCCCCTCTCCACTCCGCGCGTGTGCGTTTTCTTATCTGGCAGTATCACGAAGCGACTCGATGTTTACGTTGACCGGGAGCAGACCCGCGGAGTGGGAGCTAGAAAGGGGCGTGACTGTACGACCTGTCCGTACCGCAGCGCGTCTGCTCCCGAAGCCACTCGATGTTTACGTGGACCAGTAGCAGACGCGCGGAGTGGGAGCTGGAAAGGGGCGTAGCTTCACTACCCGGCCGTACGGTATCGCCGCAGCGAGGTACAGCACTCACAGTGTCTCCAACGTGGAAATTAGGTCTACTTCCAACGCTTCTGAGGAAAACAGGATATATGTGCAGCAAAGTAGGTGAGCCTTGCATATACTCATCTACTTGTGTGTTAAGGTTGACATCCTAAGTTTTTGCACCTGATATTGTAATTTCATTTTCATAGAAATACCAACATAGAAAATATAGTAGACGACAACGATATTGTATTCGTTTACATTTTTTTCTGATTGTCATAAACGGCTTATAAAATCGAGAACGGAGGCATTGAGGACAGAGCCGAATTTGAAAATTTTAAAAGATCTCCTCTTGCAAGTCTGGAAGAGATGACTGAATCAAGTTGTGAAGTTACGTAAAAGTAGTTAAATATACGTATGTAAGTGATGGTAGCGATTGCCAAAGATGTAAAGTTTACTTACCTAATTTGCTATGTTGAGGAGCCTTCTTCCAGAAACACGCACTTCAAGATCATTCACCTAAATACATATTTCATTCACTTTTTTCACTTTATTCTTTATTTAAAAAATGTGCTACAAAACTTAATCTTTTCTTCCGAAGAATATGTTCTCGAGTACCGCTCTGCTGCATCGCGATGAATTCACCTGCGTGCGGGGCTCGGACGGGGGGTGTTAGGTCTTCATAGCGCCGTCACATATGTGAACTTTGCTATGACAGTATCGAAACAGTGCGATTTTCTAGATTCATTCATCATTCATTCCATCTATGTCGAAGTATTAGAGCATTTTAGGTTATTGCACATTGCCCAAATGTATAATTTATACAGATTCCATTATTATTTATACCGTATAATATAATGACCGTACTATATGGCGGGTGGGTAACACAAGGAAGTAGAAACAACATTCTAGCTAAATAGCAAAGGTTGCAAAATTGTCCGATGAGCTGGCAACGCCGCAATCTAGGTGACAAAATGACAAGATCGTATGTCTATCCAGACGGTAACGCCGGCCGTCATTTAGTACGTCAAAGCGGCCAGTTTCCATCTTAATTCGGATTTTCTAGCGGTATGCAACGATTTCCAGAAAAATTTAGCTGCGGATAGACTAGTAGAGTATATTTCAATAGTTGTCTTGCATGGCCATGTTATCTTTACTCGGGCCAAAAACTCATTGGAGATGAAATTAGTAGATACGGATATTTGTCATAATTAGCGATGAGAAAGGGGTTGCCAGTGTTAACAAAAAAAATGTTACTACATTTCGGTTAGAATCTTAGTAACATTTCATTTCGCAGGATTGGCAACGAATGACATATTGACCGCCTTTCTCGCGACACATGCGCAGAATCAGCATAAAACAAAAATGGGCTCCTGGAAAGAAAGCCACCTTTTTTCCCGCTAAATAAACGGAGTGTCTTGGAGGTGGTTTTGACCGAAATCTGACTGAAAATGGACCAACTAGACCGTTTTATAAAGTTAGCAAAAGCTGGCGAAGGCACTTACGGCCGTGGTCTACAAAGCCAAGAACAAGCCTGACTGGCAAGAATGTGGCTCTCAAGAGGATTAAATTGGAAAAAGTACGCTTTGTGCCTATTTGGCGTCCGCTGTCGAAAAATATTTGCATGTTGCACGCTCGTTTTCCAGGAATACTTTGCTTGAACAGGCTGAACCATCAATATTACGTAAATTGGAATTGAGTTTTAATTTTACATTATTTTATTTGCATGCTTTATCACAGATCATTTCAACGCTGATGCGAACATCTAACCGATTAATTTGTAAGATGCCCAGCTGAATCTGTGTGTGTTTACGTTTTGTACTATATCGTAGCACCACATGATTAGCTTAGAATCTTATGCAGCATCATCGCTACAAACTGTAAGTAACATTTTTTATAATGCTATTTATATCCTCTTTATCATTCACGTATCAACAGGCAGTGCAGAAAAAATAGCTGGGGGCTTCAGGTTTCCCTAAAAGTCATGTATTTGATGAGTTAGGGAGCATGTGCCTCTAGGAGGAAAGCACAGGCTTGAAGCAAAAGCATAGGCCTCACATACTGCTCTGATAGATGATGAATCAGACCACACTTCTTGTATTTATATGATTCTAAAATACTTTTTGTATGTATTTAGGTATCAGTCAATTTTTTATACAGGTTCTACAGAGATGATGGGGAGGCAGGAAAGGTGTACCACCCACAGCAATTCGTTGAAATTAGCCTTCTTAAAGGGACTTAGACACTCGTCGATAGATGGAATTGCTAGATGTGATGCAACCACTGATTAAATTGTATTAGTTTTTGAATACTTAGATCTTGATCTCAAGAGGTACTTGGATGGTACTCGATCACCACTAGAAGCTGAACTTATAAGGGTAGGTTTATATGAATATCCAAAACTGATGCTCATTTTTGCATTAAAATATTTTGAGTATGCTGTTGTGGAAAAATGCCCCTCACTGTGTTTTTGTGGAAATTTTCTGATATCTAAATCATTGGTTGTATTTATTCGCATCTCAGAGGTATCCAGCACGTTGAGTTCATTTTTAGTTATTGTTAGTTTATTTAGCAGATCATTCATCAGCTATGAGCTAGTATCTTAGGCAGCTCTAGGATCAACCTGCTGAATGCTATTGTCATATATTTTCAGAGCTACATGAAGCAATTGATAGAGGCGCTAGCGTACCTGCATTCACACAGAATTCTCCATCGCGATTTGAAACCTCAGAACCTTCTAGTCGATAAAGAAGGCCACATTAAACTTGCAGATTTTGGACTGTCAAGGTCTTTTTCACTACCTACCCGTACTTATACCCACGAAGTGGTAACAGTATGGTATAGGGCGCCAGAGCTATTATTGGGAGCTAGGATGTATTGTACTGGGATCGATATATGGAGTTTGGGTTGTGTCATGGCCGAGATGGTAAGAAAAAATTAATTGATACTGAAACTTTCAAGATACTGTAGACTTTTAGACAGGATTGATTTTTCAATTTTAATCTTGATTTAAATAACTGAAATGACTTTTCATCTGTTCAACAATTCCTTGTAATTTAAATTTCCATTTTTTACAGCTTTTTGCTTCCTGTTTTTCCATCTGGTTTATTCGATGCAAAAATCCATATATTGTCATTTTTTTTCTTCAAATCGTATTTCTAATATACAGGGTGTTTCAGTTTATGTTGCATAACTTTAAGATTCGATTAGAACTTTTAAAATGAATGCTAAAGTCTATATAAACATGGGTCGAAAAATGCGAAATACTAACTATCCAATAGCATTTCAGTTGTAAATAATTAATTTAATTTGTTAAAAATAATATTGGAGAATTAAACAAATCAATATTGTTTTTTGTGTTTGTTTGGAGTTAGGAATTATTGCTGTGTTTAAAAACACAATCTAAACGATCATCTTAATTACTTGTAATGCCCAAATCTAAAATGTAAAAAAATATATTATTTTCGCATAAATAATTAAATGCATCGAACCTTAAAAATCGAAATATCTCAAAAACGGCTAACTATAACGAAAACTCACAAGAGTGCTTTTTTATGCAGAAAAGTGCAAAGAATCAGTTTTTTTATTCAAAAAGCAAAAATTGTACTAAGAAATTTTTTTCGGTAATTTTAATACACTACAGGTACAGTAGAGAGCGCCCTCTAGCGGCTACATTAAAACTAGGCCCATGGTTCGTTTTCTCGTACCAAAAAACCCTTGTATACCAATTTTCACTATTATACATCAAATATTGTTCGAAATATTTAAAAAAAACTATTTTAAAAAGTAAATTTAAACACCCTGTATTTCGGAAGCCACGCATTTTTCGACCCGTGTTTATATAGACTTTATGCATTAATTTTAAAAGTTCTATCGAATCTTAAAGTTATGCAACAATAAACTGAAACACCCTGTAGAAAGATGCTCTAGAGACTGCATCTCCAGGGTAATAGCTTTACCATAATTTGGAAAAAACTCTGGAACCTCATCAACATCAGAATCTTCAGAAAGTTGTTGTGGTTCAATTGAATTTTCAATATCTGTAAAAAAGTAGACTTGACTTCCGGCACTTACTCAATCTGACCTTCGAGTGACCTCTAGATGCTCTTAAAATGCCTCGTTACGGACAAGCTGATCTCAGATTCGGATTCAAAAAACCTATAAGCAAGACAGTTGAATACCGAATTACTTTATAAAACTTACTATGTACTTTTTCAAAATCTCACCTAAATCTGACCTTCACCATGGCAAGGAGGAGATTCATATAAGTGTCGTTTATGGTGAAATGATTTAGTTATTTTATACATGAAAATAATGACTTTTATCTTTTTGATAAAAATTGAATTGAGCCGAAAACGAGAACTAAATAATATATGAAATTTTTCACATCCAACCACTGCAGTTCTTCTAACATAGACTTAATCCTAGTATCTTTTTTTATTTAAAATGATTCTCATAGCTTTATTTTGTAGAATGTTTGAAAATATGTTTTTATTTGCTATAAACAAGATGGTTGAACAATATAAAAAATGGGGAAGAATTATACTGTTGTACACAATTTTTTTGGAATATATACTAAGATTATGGGAAACTCTATAGAAGTAATTTATCTTTTTCGATGTTTTTGAAATAATGTATTCATAATGTTCGTGAAACAGTAGCTTACGATCCACATATATACCAACATATTTAAATGACTCGACTCTCCAATTATATTGAAACAATCATTTAGAATATTTTTTGAGAGATTCTCACTTGGGTTTTTTTTACTTGTACCTCATTGACTCCACATCAAACAAACATGAGCATTCAAACTTCACTTCTATTTACATGTCGAGATTTGATTCCATCTTGGACCCACTTACAAACTATTCAAGTAGATATCTTCCATTTTCAGTTTACCAAAAGAGCAATTTTCCCTGGGGATTCGGAGATAGACCAACTATATAAGATTTTCAAAATATTGGGTACACCTTCTGAAGGTGTGTGGGAGGGAATTTCGCATTTTCCGGAATATACCAAAGCTTTTCCTAAATGGAACCTCATAGATATGAATGAGATTATCAATTTTCATTCGGAGGAAGAAGAGGCATTTTTGATGGTGAGAAGCGTTTGAATATTTCTATAAAAACCGTTATTTTTTTCAAAATATATAGAGTAGATTCTTAAAGCTTCGAAATGCTATTTCAAAGTCTAGATACGACCGTTTTTCACCTTGATACAACCTAACAAAAGTCACTGAAAACTCGCTACCTTAATTTTTTGAGAATTCTATTTTTGCTCTTGGTAGTCATTTGATAACGATTTTTATTGTGGTGACAATTGCCGCTAGTATTTTTTTAAGGAACTTGATACATTTACCTGTATTATTTTTTTGAAATCCTGTTCAAGCGGCGTATTTTGAATTATTTGCAGCATATGTTGGTGTACAATCCATCTAAAAGGAAGACGGCAAAAGAGCTGCTGAAGATGAACTATTTGAAAGGTGCTAAATTAACGGCGCCTGATATGAATGCCTTTCCGCCAGAACAAGAGGCAGACACAGAGTAGGAAGCAGATTGTTTTTAAGATTTTGTTTTAAATTGATTTATTCTAATTTTATGTGTTAAGTGTTGAAGTGTAATATAATTTTACCATCACTATTTATGTTGATTTAAACCTATACTGCCTCGCCTGGTTCAGTCGTAAAAACGATTTGATTGCTTACAAGACCTCAAACATCGAAATTAACAATTTATAATCATGACTTTGACTCCAAAAACCTATTTTCTTAGTTCAAAAATTGGACTTCGCGATACTAGGATTTTTTGATGACCATATTTGGAATCAACCTACCATCAGTAACTGAGCAACATGTTTGTGACTTGTCGGATTTGACGTCTAACATAAAAAAATGGCGCCGAGTAGTTCCTCCTTGATTTTCATAGTGTTTTACTGTTCCGCGTCCAGCGATCTTTTTTGAGGTTATGTCACAAATACCTATTTGCATCAAATTGCTCATGTTATCGTTTTATCAGTATGGAATTGCACGCAATTCAAAAAGAAAACAGTTGAAATCTAATCTGCGTTTCTGAGGAACGAATAACTATGAAAGGCAAGCTACAATTGTAAGAAAGACTGGCTATATGGCCCTAAAGTACCTAATCGCCAAGCAATCCATTTAGTCGCCATTATTTAAAATCGCCACCTTGGCGTAAAGTGGCCACGCCCGGCAACACTGCTTCCAGCCTACAAAAAACACTGAAGTAAACACTTGTTTTGAATCTTCCTATCACGCACATGTAGACGCCTACTAGAAAGAATCGGCCACAGAGAGAAATAGTGGTTTTCTAGGATTGGCCAAACGGTAACCAATACGATCATCGTTGGAAAAAAAACACTTTTTGTGTTTTACTAGAACCAGTCTTTCATAATCTTTTGTAGCCAATGGCTGTTCGCTGTGTTATTTGAAATGGCGTTTTTCGTATTAAATATTGTATGAAATACCCTTACGATTGGTGGGACCGGTGGGACGCGTTTTGATTGTATTATAGAGGAATCAAAAGGGTTTATCAGGCAGATCGAAGTACATAAGTAGCTTAGTCCTTTTGAGACGCAGGAGCAGGAGCTAAAATACTCGATTGGCGTCGGAAGAATAGTTCACAGGTTGGTGATGCGTACATATAAAAAAATGCCGTCAAGTAGATTGACTCTATACTTCCTACGTCTTCGTTAGAGTTTTCAAAGAAAAGGGACGAGTCAAAGCGTTTCAACAGGCGAAATCGATTCGTGATTACGTAGGTTCACTAAGGCCCGTATCGTCAGTCGTCCCTACAATTGTAGGGCGCCTTGTGGCCTCCTTGATTGTCATAGTTTTCTACTTCTCCGTGTCAGCGCTCTATTTTGAGGTTATGTCACAAACATCTATTTGCATCAAATTGTGCTTGCTTTTGAGTTATATCATGTTTTATCCGCCTGAAATTTCCTACAATTTAAAAGGAAAACAAATCTTCCCAATAGGAGAGCGCTGACGCTGACACGGGACAAGTGTAATCTAGTAATTTTTGAAGGAGAGAAAGGAGTATGACAATCAAGGAGGCCATAACGCGCCCTACAATTGTAGGGACGACTGACGATACGGGCCTAAGGTACGATGAATCTTCGCTTTCTGCTTATCGACGTATACAGGGTGATTTTGAAGTTGAGTCATTAATTTTCAGATAATGATTGTAGAAGGAAGATAAACCAAAATATGTGTGTAAAAATAAAAAAAAAATTTACCTTGTTTTATAAAGTATCCTCCCGACAAGTATTTCAGTGCGGACCTGTATTTGATCGTGAGGTCTCGGAGCACCGGCATGCCGTCACCTGATTCACGAGCCCGTTGTACTACATTAACAAAGGCACGAGGGTTGGTTGTTTGCACTCGATTGGGAAACCGATCCGCATAAACATGTGCCATTTTTTATTTCGTTGAGCCACGCAACAGACACCACTATTCACGCCGCGTTACCGACTGACACTGACTGTATACAAATGAATAAATAATTGTAAAAACATCGTTCCAAATTCTTTCGCTTTGTTGTTTCCGATGCGATGAACCGATAAGGCGGATTATATCCGTTGTCGCCAAACACGAGCACATAATATTATTATTGAGACAGGGCTGTACTCAAACTTCCAAAGGGCTATAACTTTGTTACTTTAACTTTACCAGAAAAATGGTAAAGGAAAAAACATTTTTTTGATCAGATCTACTCACTGTTAAAATAAATGACTCAACTTCGAAGTCACCCTGTATAAAGCAGATGTAGGGAAAATATAAGTGACTTATTATGTTTAACAGGTGCATAGAACACTCAGATAAGCAGTTTCTTAACTGAGCAACATGCTTGCGACTTGTTGCTGTCAACATCCGAGGTGATGCCTAACAAAAAAAACACGTCAAGTAGATTGACTCTATACTCGCTACGCCTTCGTTGGAGGTGTCAAAGAAAAGGGATGATTCAAAGCGCGAAATCGAATCGTGATTAGTTAGCTTCACTTAGGGCCGTATTGTCAATCGTTCCTACAATTTATTGTAGGACGTCTTTGAGGCCTCCTTGATTTTCATAGTTTTCTACTGTTCCGTGTCAGCGCTATTTTGAGGTTATGTTACAAATATCTATTTGCATCAAATTGTTCACGCTTTTGATTTATATCATCTGTATATCAGCCTGAAATTACCTACAATTCAAAAAGAAAGATAGACTCATAATAGGAGAGTGCTGACGCTGACTAGGAACAGTAGAAATCTAGAAATACACCTGCGTTTCTGAAGGAGAGAAAATACTATGAAATCAAGGTAGGAACGCCTGACGATACGGGACCTTACCGCATGCAGCTTTCAACCAGGGTTGCCAAGTTTTCAGTCACGTTGGTCGCCAAGTTTTGATGAGAAATCGCCATTCCTTAAAGTGCAAATTAACTAGGAGTCTAATCGTTAAACGCCAGGTTAGAGAATGGAATGGATTTGTCATCGGGGTGGGGAGAGGGGTAGTAGCTGCCTGATGACGATAACTGAAGAGGGGAGTTAGGCATAATAAACTAAACAATTCCTTGAAAAGCGGGTGTTGAACATGTTTAATATGATTAAAACTATAAGTTCATCTAGAGGGGCATTTTGATGTGAAGAGACTTTTGGGAGTTTTTGATCTTGGACAACGGAAAAACGGGAGGGGGTTACCGACTACTAAAAATTTTTCTGCGTATTTACCTTTCCCAGCGATTTTTTTTTGGGGGGGGGGGGGATGGGATGTCGTTAATATGCTTGGAACACGACACGTTGACGTGGCATTTGACCATAATACTTGTTATATTTTCCATTTTTCATATTTTTATTGATTGATGTGTTTATGTATATAATAAAAACATTATTCGGTACAACACATGTATGTTTTATTATACACGTATAAATGAATGTATAAGCTCTAAATGTTGCACAAATTTTTATTGACTTTTTTCAAATTTTATTCAAAATTTTCGTCAACCAGTCAAACTGGCGGCGATTTTCGTATGCTAGCTTGTATTATTGCTCAGTGCAATAAACGTTAAATAATACGGTTAAAATTTAATGTGCCTCAATCATTCAATACCAAGAATCAAATCATTTTACCTACTTATGAAATCACCTTTGCTAAGGTTAATTTCACCGGACTATATCCAGAGTAGTCTATGTAGGTGGGTTAGAGGATATAGTCCGGTGAAATTAACCTTAGCAAAGGTGATTTTCATAAGTAGGTAAAATGATTTGATTCTTGGTATTGAATGATTGAGGCACATTAAATTTTAACCGTATTTATTTAACGTTTATTTGCACTGAGCAATAATACAAGCTAGCATACGAAATATCGCCGCCAGTTTGACTGGTTGACGAAAATTTTGAATAAAATTTGAAATAAAAGTCAATAAAAACATTTGTGCAACATTTAGAGCTTATACATTCATTTATACGTGTATAATAACAACATACATGTGTTGTACCGAATATATGTTTTTATTATATACATAAACACATCAATCATAAAAAAATATGAAAAATGGAAAATATAACAAGTATTATGGTCAAATGCCACGTCAACGTGTCGTGTTCCAAGCATATTAACGACATCCCATCCCCCCCCCCCCCAAAAAAAAATCGCTGGGAAAGGTAAATACGCAGAAAATTTTTAGTAGTCGGTAACCCCCCTCCCCGTTTTTCCGTTGTCCAAGATCAAAAACTCCCAAAAGTCTCTTCACATCAAAATGCCCCTCTAGATGAACTTATAGTTTTTCATATTAAACATGTTCAGCACCCGCTTTTCAAGGAATTGTTTAGTTTATTATGCCTAACTCCCCCTCTTCAGTTATCGTCATCAGGCAGGCTACTACCCCTCTCCCCCACCCCGATGACAAATCCATTCCATTCTCTAACCTGGCGTTTAACGATTAGACTCCTAGTTAATTTGCACTTTAAGGAATGGCGATTTTCTCATCAAAACTTGGCGACCAACGTGACTGAAAACTTGGCAACCCTGGTTGAAAGCTGCATGCGGTAAGGTCCCGTATCGTCAGGCGTTCCTACCTTGATTTTCATAGTATTTTCTCTCCTTCAGAAACGCAGGTGTATTTCTAGATTTCTACTGTTCCTAGTCAGCGTCAGCACTCTCCTATTATGAGTCTATCTTTCTTTTTGAATTGTAGGTAATTTCAGGCTGATATACAGATGATATAAATCAAAAGCGTGAACAATTTGATGCAAATAGATATTTGTAACATAACCTCAAAATAGCGCTGACACGGAACAGTAGAAAACTATGAAAATCAAGGAGGCCTCAAAGACGTCCTACAATAAATTGTAGGAACGATTGACAATACGGCCCTAAGTGAAGCTAACTAATCACGATTCGATTTCGCGCTTTGAATCATCCCTTTTCTTTGACACCTCCAACGAAGGCGTAGCGAGTATAGAGTCAATCTACTTGACGTTTTTTTTTTGTTAGGCATCACCTCGGATGTTGACAGCAACAAGTCGCAAGCATGTTGCTCAGTTAAGAAACTGCTTATCTGAGTGTTACTATGCACCTGTTAAACATAATAAGTCACTTATATTTTCCCTACATCTGCTTTATACAGGGTGACTTCG